CGCAACACCCAACTGCCGCGCTTCTGCACAAAGATTCCCCACCCGGAAGCCATCGCAGTTGATGCATTCTCGATCGCGTGGACACCCGAAAACAACTTCGCCTTCCCCCCGCCCCAACAGGTCCCAGCCGTCCTCCATCACGCACAACGCACCCACGCATCACTCACACTGATAGTTCCACACTGGCCAGGCGCAAGCTGGTGGCCACTTTTGCAACCCTCCCCATGCACTTGGGCTCCACACATCCACGCGCACATCCATCTGACACACGGAAGCCAATGCCTAGACGCAGGGTCCCATTCCAATGCTTTTTCAGGCATGGGACTACCGCACAGCCCAATTATTGCACTGAGAGTGGCATTTGACTGATTCAAAATGTCTACGCCTTGTGTTCAGATTTGCTCCCAAAGTTACACGACCAAATGATTAACATGCTCGCGCAGTCTCGCGCCGATTCTACGATTTGGACATACGAACCATACTGGGCCAAGTTTCGAGCCTGCTGCACAAAAATGAACCTTCCATTTCTTCCGGCATCCGACATGACCCTCGCGCTCTACCTGGTACACGCAATTCGACGCAAAGCCACCCTTTCCGTAGTGCAGCTGACGTGCTCGGCGGTCAGCTTCGCTCATCGCATGACTGGGAGCAAATGCCTGACAACCAGACCATTCACCACCCAAGTCCGTGACTGTGCAAAACGACACTCCCCTCGCCCTACTCGTCTGAAGGAACCCGTATTGATCCAACAAGTCCGGGACATGGCCGTGAATTACTTGCGGTCCGACGATCCCGCGACGTTTCAGAAAGGGTTAATCACCATCCCTATGTACTCAGAATTCCTGCGATATTCTGACCTAGTAGCCATAAAATGGCAAGACATCCAATTCGACGACGAGGTCATGTGGATTCTCACACCACACTCCAAGACCGATCAGGCCGGTCACGGCACTTGGATACCCATTGCAGCAACGGCAGACCCCTGTTGCCCAGTGCGCTGCACCCGACGCTTCATCCAACTGGCCGGCTATGGCCCACGGTCAGAGGGACCATTGATTCGGGTCTTCGGCCACGCTTCAACCAGCGAGGGCCAGGCAAGGCCACCTTCATACACCACGATCCGAAACTGGTGCAAGGAAGCCTTCGCAAAGGTTGGCCTTGGAGAGCTGCAGCTCGGCACACATTCTTTCCGAAAAGGTGCACCCACAGTAGCAGCCAACACGGGAGTGCCAGACAGGGTCTTCAAACGACTGGGCAGATGGCGAAGCGACTCAGCAAAGGAAATGTTTGTTACACCATACGTCGAGCCTCTTATCGAAGCCTCCCGTAACCTACAAGATCCGACGCATGCCGCGTCATCGGCACAACACACAGAGGCACTCGTACGCAACCGGAGGCCCCCGCTGCACATGTCTCACAGACCCTATTTGTAATGAGAACGATGCAAATTGGTAAGAATAAGAAAGCAAGCTTTCTCAATATTATATTTTTTTTAACACACATTGTGTTTTTTTTAGATTGTGTATTGTGAAAGCGAAGCTGCTTGTACTGCACAATTGGCATCGTCGAAGCGCGCTAAAAACCCTTCTCCAACTACAAAAACCGTGGGTTGGAGTTCATTTCCCTCCACCCACGTTTCTCGATTTTCAAACGGCTCACTCAACATTCCCACCACCCATCCCAGAGTAAACCGCCTTGCTGAATGCCACTTGGATAGGGTACATCTTAGCTAGTGTTATTAGATTGCACTAGCTTGTGTTCAATGTTGATGCAAATGTTGCAATAAGCCATTTTTAATGAGAAGGATGCCAATTGATAAGAATAAGAAAGCAAGCTTTCTCAATCAAGCCCTTTTATCCCAGTTGTTAGTGGATGGGATTCTGACACGGTATCAGAGCGAAGGTCTCGGGTTCGAATCCCGGTGTGTGCACCTCGGGCATCTCAGTGCGGGGGGGTGTCAGAGGTCCACTGGTGATCCCCGATTGATCCTAGGGAAGGGTTACATTCACGTTGGCCTGGGGGGTTATGGGCGCACTCACCCGCTATACAAACAAGCCCTTTTATCCCAGTGGTTAGTGGCTGGGATTCTGACACATGTCGCACGGTAGAAATGGTTGGGGTTGTCAGAAACTAACGAGCAGAAAGATAACAGAAGAAGAGGGGTTGCACTAGCAGGCAGGTGGGATACAAATAGGAAACCCTAAAAGGGTTGTACTCACTGTTGAGTACCCCATTACAGCCTACACAACATAACATTCTGACAAACCCCCATAGGCAAAGTGGGGTATAGTCAACACAACAAGCAATCGCAGGACAAGTGCATAAGCAAACGCTAGTGGCACAAACAGAGGGCAAGTGAGGAGGAGGGACTATGAGAGGAGAGGAGATAGGAGGCGGCGGTTGAAGCTGCTGGCACTCGGTCAACTAGAGCAACTGGCACACTAGCTACCGGAGCAAGAGCATCCGGACTGCTAGAGTAACTGACTCCGCGGCTAGACGAGCGGCTGGAGCAACTGACCCACGGGCGATTGGAGCGACGGGCTCACGTGCTACCGGAGCTAGGGCATCCAGACTACTGGCGCTGCTGGCTTCAAGTCGGCTACCTCCGTTCAACCTCCCCTCATTGCCCAAACCCCCTTTTCACATCCCCCTCAGCATTCCTAGCACCACTCCCGCAGCTCCCACACCATCCCCCCCTCAATGGCAGCTGCAGCAGTGGGAGAGAAAGGAGGAGGAGGAGCAGCTGCGTACGCACTCCCGTCACCCCCATAGCCGCCACCCCAATGCCCTCCCCCCACAGCTGCACGCGCAGGAGGGAGAGGAAGGAGAAAGGGGGGGCAGGGAGGAAGCTGCCCCGCGGCGCACGAGGGCAAGGGCGGCGCGCGGGAGCCACAGGGCAGCGCGCGCGGGGGCCGCAGGGCGGCGCGCGGGTCCACTGGGGCGGCGCGCGGGTCCACGGGGGCGGCGCATCGGGTGCACGGGGGCCGCGCGCGGCTCCACGGGGCGTCACGCGGGTCCCACGGAGCGGGGCGTCGGGTGCACAGGGGCCGCGCGCGGCTCCACGGGGCAGCGCGCCGAGTGCACAGGGGCTGCGCGCGGCTCCACGGGACGGCACGCTGAGCAGAAAACCGCCGCGCACTCGGGGCGCGCGGCTGGCTGAAAAATGTCGCGCGCCCGAGGCGCGCGACTAACAGAACCACAGCGGAAGCAGTCGGGTGGGCCCATCCACAGGATCGACCAGGGAGGGTCGACCTGCTCTAATAGCATGTGAGAAACTAACGCGTAGAAAGATAATAGATGAAGAGGGGTTGCACTAGCAGGCAGGTAGGATATAAATAGGAAACCCTAAAAGGGTTGTACTCACTGTTGAGTACCCCACTACAGCGTACACATCATATCATTCTGATAGGGGTTACTGAAATATGATTTTTTGAAAGTGTGTAACATGCGTACTGTGAAAGCGCAGCTGACTGTAACGTAGCAAGGCAACTGTTACGATATGAAGTTGTATGAGAAGGCATTCCTGTATGCTGCAGGAGCCGACCAGGGCCCTCGGTATCAGAATTTTTAGTATAATTCAGAGTCCGTTGAGGCTTTTTTTTTGTACCTAGGCTTTAAAGTTTTTCTATATGTACCTTCTCTGTTTTTTCAGAGTTTTTTTTTTTTGTATTGGCTGAAATTTCAGACTAATTTTATGCGTGTAGGCTGAGCCTCAGCCTTGTAACGGTGGTGCACTATGAAACAGGTAATGTAGGCGTTTCCGCCAGCCTGGCGACGTCTACTCAATGTTCGATGTACAGTATCAGATATTCGGCCAGACCTTGCTTGACCAATCAAACGCAGATTGTACAATCTAGTTTCAGTTTTTGGATGCAAGTGGTTCGGGCTTGACTGGTCATTGCCGATTTGCCCTGACACAGCAATTTGTACAGTGTTCGCCCTGTCAGAGCATTTCAGATTCACCCAGTCAGAGCAAATTTGCCCTGACACATGAAATTTGCCCTGTCACGGACAAGAGACTCGCCCTGATACAACAGATCAGCTGTGTAAGAGTTTTGCCGGAATCCCTGTAGCACACTGCGCCTTGCACGACAACACAAACATCCACCCCCACCCCCACCTTCCCTGCAAACAGACACGTGAGATGTGTGAAAATAAGAACGAGGAATGAATGAACTAGCAAGCAGGTGGGTACAAGTAGGAAAACCTAGAGGTGTTGTACCCTATATTGCCTACCCCACTACAGCCTACATAGACTATAGCATATAAGTTTGATACACCCCCATAGGCAAAGTGGGAGAGAACAAGAGGTCACAAGACCAGTCAAGAGAGGCAAGCAAGCTCAAGGTGGATCACGACGTCACCACAAATTCTGAGCACAAGCAAATGGCCACAAGGCCAGTTCACATGCAGAGTTATATAAAGACAAACAAACAATACAGTGATCACAACCTAGCAAGAGTAAACATGCAAGTATATGTATAGAGATCACAGTACAAGCAAAGTCAAGAAGTAAGCAAGTGAGGCCCAGTGGGCACAAGGCTTAGAACAGTACAGAAACGCTGATGATCACAAGGCTGAAGTGCCTTGGTGAAGACATCAGCAGTGTTGGCCCGAGAGGCCACGGAAGCAAGACGAAGCTGACCACGCTGCTCCAACTCTCGAGCAAGGAAGTAGCGCAGAGCGATGTGCTTTGTCCTGTGCTCCAGTCTGTGCTTCTGACACAAGGCAATCATGGCCTTGTTGTCGACGTACAACACTGGAGGAGAACGAGGCGCCTCTCCCAGGTCGGTCAGCAGGTAGGTGTGCCAGCGTAACTCCTGTGCAGCCATGGCCCCTGCGTAGATCTCAGCCTCACAACTGGAGCTGAGAACAGAAGACGAGCGGGTAGACCGCCAAGAAACAGAGCCGGAGCCAAGGCTGAAGGTGTAACCCTGTGACGACCGCTGCGTAGCCAAGTCGTCAGCCCAGGAAGCGTCTGCGTGACCAGTGAGGACAATTCAAGCCCGTCCTCCAAGCACGAGCCCCATGCCCGACGTACTGCACAAGTAGCGCAACACCCTATTAGCGGCATCCATGTGCTCCTTCCTGTGTCTCCCAGGAGCAACATAGCGTGCCAGGATGCTAAGCGGGTATGCCAGGTCAGGTCGAGTGCAGGTCATCAGGTACATGAGGCAGCCCACAAGCTCTGGATACGGGCCATTTGGCTCTACGGACTCATCCGAAGGCAGAGCTGAGAGCGAGTGGCGAGTAGGCAGAGGAGTGGGCTGTGGCGAGGAGTACGTGAAGCCGAAGCGCTGAAGGACCTGCTGCACCATGTGTGACTGAGTCAAAGTAATGGTGCCCTGTGCTCTGTCCCGGGTGATCCACAAGCCAAGATAGCTGCGCAGCTCACCCAGTTCTGTGCACGTGTGTCTCTTCTGCAGCTCCGACTTCACGTGGGCGAGTCCCTCAGTGTCAGAAGTGGCAAAGACCAAGTCGTCGACGTACACGAGGACGTAGAACGGCGGAAGAGAGGTGTCGGTGCGTAGAAACAGCGACGGGTCTGCAGTAGAAGGAGCAAAGCCAAGAGCCGCACGGGTCGTCCTCAGTGTGTTCTGCCACTCACGGGGCGCCTGGCGGAGACCGTAGACTGGCCGTCGGAGGCTCCACTGGGTACCAGTAGGAAACGACCCAGTGAAGCCAGGTGGGCGGCGCAGCCAGATCTCCTCGTGCAGGCTGCCCTATAGGAAAGCAGTGCTGAAGTCAAGAGAGTGCAACTCGTAGTCACGCTGAGCAGCTATGTGCAGCAGAACCCGAAGAGTGGTCATCTTCGGGGTGGGGGAGAAGGTATGGAAGATGTCAACTCCCTCTCACTGACTGAAGCCTCGTGCAACGAAACACGCCTTGAAGACAGGCGGAGAACCCGGCGGCCGCTTCACCCTGAAAATCCACATGCCGCTGACAATGTTCGCCCCAGGCGGGGGAACATCGTGGATGTAGGTGCCTGTGGACTTCCAGGAAGCCATCTCTGCGTCCATGGCTGTCTGCCACTGAGAGGAGTAGGGACCCTCTATCGCCTCTGCGTAAGAGCGGGGGGTCGGGATGTCTTGTGCATCTGAGTCTCCTTCAGGGGCAATCAGCATGGACACGAGATGAGGTAAAGCGGCGACAAAGCACTCAAACTCGTCCTGCCTGTCCTCAAGGACGTTCATGCCAAGAGCACACTCACCCTTGACGGATGGAGGACAGACAGACTCAGACTCATACTTAGCAACACGACTAGCGGCGTAGTCCAGACAACAGGCAGCAGCAAAGTCAACAAGCTCAGCAACTAGGGCAGACGCAGCAGTGGACTCAAACGACTGGTCAATGACAACTGTGGCCAGTAGACGCGTGACAGTAGGACTAGCAGTACGAAGGGAGTCAGACTCCGGGTCCGGACCGTCAGCAAAAGAGGACGCAGGAGGAGACGGCAGAGAACCGCGTAGTGGAGCAGTGGAAGGACGAAGTGTCATCTCGTGCGTGCCTGGGACAGGAGGAGGATGCGGACGCGGGACACGACGACCAGTGCAAACAGCGTGAACAGGCAAAGAAGGACGAGACTCAGGAAACGCAGGACGAGACTCAGGCTCACGATGCTCCGTAAGACCTCTAGTAGGTCCAGAGTAAGGAGAAGGACCAGGCAGAGGAGAGAATGGCTCTAGCTGCGACTGTGGCTGGGCAGGCAGTGGACACAGTAAGGGAAAAGTGGGACCAGTAGAAGGCGGGAGGTCAAGAACCTGTTGAAGAAACGGAATGAAGTACGGCCGTGTCCGCACAGCGTCTCTAGAACCAGCAGAGACAGCACCAGTACTCCCAGCGCCAGTGTCTCCAGCTCCTACTCCCGCAGCACCACCAGCTCCAGCACCTCCAGCAGCTCCAGCTCCAGGAGCACCTCCAGTAGCAACCCTGGTAGCACCACCAGCCCCAGCAGCTCCAGTACCTCCAGTACGAGCACCTCCGGGACCAGCGTCTCCAGCTCCTCCAGCAGCTCCAGCTCCTCCAGCAGCTCCAGCTCCTCCAGCAGCTCCAGCGCCAGTAGTACCTCCAGCAGCTCCAGCTCTGGCAGCACCTCCGGCTCCAGCAGCTCCAGCTCCGCCAGCAGCTCCAGAAGCTCCAGCTCCTCCAGCAGTACCTCCAGCAGCTCCAGCAGCACCTCGCTGGCGTCTCCATCGGCGAGCAAACCACTCGCGCAGCGGCTGTGGGGAGAGAGGCTCCCACCGAGACAAGGCCCCCGCATGAACACCAGCAGACTCAGCACCCCCAGTCTCAGCGACCGCAGGCTTAGCACCCTCAGACTCAGCACCCCCAGGCTCCACACCCTCAAACTCACCAACCCCAGGCTCGACACCCCCAGACTCCACACGCACAGGCTCAGCACCCCCAGGCTCCACACGCTCAGGCTCGGCACCTTCAGGCTCCACACACTCAGGCCCAGCACCCCTAGGCTATACACGCTCAGGCTCAGCACCCCCAGGCTCCATACACTCAGGCTCAGCACCCCCAGCAGCACCACCAGAGTCAACCGCTACCTCAACAGGCTCGACAGCGTCTACCTGGGACACACATGAGGGAGCAGGACCCTGAGGGGGGAGGGGGTCTACCGGAGGAGGACCTGGGGCAAGGAAGAGCGGCGGGGGGGGAGTGAAGCAGTGCGGTAGGGGAAGAGGCGATAAAAGGGAACCGACTCGTCGAACGTGACGTCCTGAGAGGGCAGGACACGTCGCGAGGTGGGGTGGTAAAACTGCCAGCCAGGCGCGTCAGGGACAAAGCCAAGGAAGACGCAGGGAATAGCCCGGGCGGAGAGCTTGTCCGCGGTGGTATCGCGGACAAAGGCACAAGAACCCCAGACCCGAAACACTGATGCATGGCCAACCTTCCCCATCCAACGCAGTGTGGGCGAGGTCTCCGGCAAGGAGACACGGGGCCAGAGGTTGAGCTGATGCGCCGCATAACGGACCGCAAACGGCCACAGAAAATGGAGGGCAGCCGCATGGACCATGGAGGTACGAGCAACCTCCATGACTAATCCAATGCGGCGCTCAGCAATCCCATTCTGCTGTGGTGAGGCCGGGAGCTTGAACGTCTGGCGAATGCCCTTCCCACGACAAAATTCCCGCAGGAAGTCAGAGGCAAGCTCACCACCTCTGTCAGAGTGCAGACGCAGGACGGGAAAGTCCGTCCCGAACCGCTCGCGGAGCTGGAGACGGGTAGCGCGGATCCACGGGATCAAAACATCAGGGACCTCACCCTTGGTGCGCAAGGGGAAGACTGTGGTAAAACGCGAATAGTCGTCAACAACCAGCAAAAAGTACCGCTCGCGGTCCTGTCCATGGACACGGGCTGGGCCCCACACGTCCATGTGTAGGGACTCCAGGGGAGCAGTCGTCGGGGGAAACGAGGAGGAGTGAGGAGCAGCGCGCTGCCGCCCCTCGACACAGGGAAGACAGAGAGGAGCAGGCGAGGGAGGGAAGGGAGGGAGAACCCTGGGAAGACCAGAGACAAGGACACGGCGGTGCATGCCACGAAGGCGCTGCACCAAGGGGTGACCAATACGGTGGTGCAAGAGGATAGTTTGGTGCGACAGAGCGCGACACGATCAGGGGGCCGCTAGCTGACCTGAAGCAAACGCAGACGCAGCTACCTGAGGGGACACAGTAGTCAGTGTGTACAAACTCGAGCCATGAGCTCAGGTAAACGTGGCCAGGTGCCAACCGGTCTGGGAGCACGTACAGTGGGTCACCCGCTGACCTCCAGGAGTGAACCGGTCTACCAACGCATCCTGGAGGGCAGCTCCACTCACCAAGTTCGTAGAGAACGAGGGGAGGTGGAGACCTGACAATGAGCCAGACGAGACAGCAGGACACGGCAGGACCGTAGAGGAGTGCGCAAGGACGGGACCCCTAGAGGGGTCCGCCAGGGAGACTGCAACTGGCCGACTGAGCGGCGTGAGTGTGGTGCTGTCGCGAAAGAAAGAGCGAGAAGCACCTGAGTCAAGTGTGAAGGTGTGCAAGGCCTCAGCAGGCGCAGTACCAGAGAGAGCAGACTCACCAGCACCTGGAGCAACAGGCTCACTAGCACCTAGAGCAGCAGCCTCACCAGCACCTGGAGCAGTAGACTCTATACCTGGGTCGAGCGGCACACACAGGTAACAGTCACCCTCAGCAGTAATATTCACAGCATACATGGCAGCAAGGATAGCATCAGTCAAGAGCAAAAATATCAACATTCTGCCTAAGCAGATCAGCCCAGCTAGGGAGCTCAGCGGCGTCAGGAAACTGGACGCGTCAGGCGTCAGACAAACGACCGAAACAGCGCTGCAACGTGTGTGGCCCTCCGCACGTCTCCCCTCGGCGCCCGCCGGTGCGGAGAACGTACGTGCAGGGACCAGCACCCCCAGACCTCCCACGCCCAGCGTACCACTCACGAAGCTGCTGAGGCGACTGGGTCTCGCGGGAACGCGGCTGCTGCTGACGTTGGCTGCCGCCAAAGCCTCCATGCTGCACAGCTCCACCCCGACCAGCACCACCGCCTCCGCCACCTCCACCGCCGCCCGCTGCCGCCTCCACCGCCGCTGCCGCTGCCTCCACCACCGCTGCCGCTGCCTCCACCACCTCCACCGCCGCCACCGTCGCCCCCACTCCCGCCACCACCCTTGCCTCCACCCCCACCCCCTCCGCCTCCTCCACCGCCACTACCGCCGCCCCCGCCATCCCCTCCACCACCCTTGTCCCCCTTGCTCTTGCTGCGGCGGCGCCTTCCACTGGGAGCAGACGCAGCCCCGACCTCCTCGGTGCCAAGGAGGTCAACAGCAGCAACAGAAGCAACAGAGGGCAGAAGGGGAACGGGGGAAGCACCTACAACAACTACACTCTTCTCAGCTGCAGTGAGGCGCTCCTCTAGCAGGTCGACGGTGAGCGTAGTGGGGCAAAGGGAGAGAAAGTGGTCCCTAACTGAGGAAAGGGAGTCAGAGAGACGGGTGACTAGGTAGAAGAGGGTGATGTACATGAGGGGTGGGTTCTTGGCGCAGAACCCGGGGGGAAGGGCAGCGCGGTAGCGGGTGTCACTAGTGCGGAGGTGGGTTATGAGGTCAGCGACTGTGGCAAAGGCGGCCAGGTCAGGGAACAGGTACGGTAGCATGAGGCGGCTGAGGGTAGCAGTGGCAGGGGAGGAGTAGCGCGCGACGACAGCGTCATACAAAGACTTAGCAGTCTTGTACTGGCCAAAGTGTGCGCGCTCAGCAGAAGGCAAGTGACTACGAACAGCAAGGCGAGCAACAACGTCACGAGTAGTCCACTGCGAGCAAACGGTACTGTCAGCATTGGCAGCAGGTGCAACAGAGGCGCCAGACGTGAGATCAAACAGCAAGACTCCGTCCTTGCTATCGCACTGAAGAAACAGCTGCAGATCATCTACCCAGACATTGAAATCAACAGCACGTCCCTCAGCATCGAAGGTAAGAACCGAAGGGCTAGCCATGATGGCAGTAGTAGCAGTGGCAGCAGTAGCAGCAGTAGCAGCGCGGTCAGGGCAGCACGGCTCAGTAGGGCAGTGCGGCGCGGCTCGGCTGGGCGGCGCGGCTCGGCTGGGCGGCGCGACCCGGCGGAGCGGCGCGGCTCGGCTGGGCGGCGCGGCTCGGCAGAGCGGCGCGGCTCGGCAGTGAGGCCGGCAAGCAGGAGCGGGTGGCGCATTTAGGGTGGGTGCTCACCAAGGGCGAGCAGGGCATGCGCGACGGCGGGGCCTCAGCGGCGACGACGGCGGCGGTCGCAACGGCGGCTGCAGGCTCGACGGCGGCAGCAGGGCCGCAACGGCGGCAGCAGAGGCGACGGCTGCTGCAGGCCACGGGGCCTCGGCGGCGGCTGCAGGGCAGAGGGCCGCGACCGTGGCTGCAGGGCAGGGGCTGCGACAGCGGCTGCAGGTAAGGGGCTGCGACGTGGGGTGGCAGGTCAGGGGCCGCGACGGCGGCTGCAGTTCAGGGGCCGCGATGTAGGGCGGCAGGGCAAGGCCGCGACGAAGGGCGGCAGGGTAGGCAGGGCCACGACGGGCAAGGCCGCGACGGCAGGGCCGCGACGGCAGGGCCGCGACGGCAGGGCCGCGACGGCAGGGCAGGCGCTCGATGGCGCAAGTGAGGCAGGCGCGAGGCACGCGACAGGGCAGGAAGGCGCGGCAGCGCTCTTCGGGCAGGGCAGGGAAAAGAAATCGTGGTGGGCCCTTGAAAAAAAAAATGCGTTCCCACTAGGGAACCTGCTCAGAATACCATGTGAAAATAAGAACGAGGAATGAATGAACTAGCAAGTAGGTGGGTACAATTAGGAAAACCCAAAAGTGTTGTACCCTATATTGCCTACCCCACTACAGCCTACACAGACTATAGCATATAAGTTTGATAAGTTTTGTTATTCACGTTTTTATAAATATACATGATCAGCTCAAGTTTTACACCTCACTCTGAAAGTTCAGCCTAAAAATATTGGGTTGTCTGAATTTTCAGCCTAAAAATGTGTGGCCACACTGACTCACAGAGTTCCAGCAGGGGTGGACACTGATCGATCAGCGTGCCTCAAAACGAATCTAGGGGCCTGGAGCCGACTCTACCGACTACGAAGTCGAGGAGTCAGAAGAGTCGAAGCGACGCAGCAACCGTCTGACCAAGACCGGTGCAGGCAGAAACATCTGAAATGAAAATGCGGGAACATGTTCAAAACGGGTTCCCGCGCCGCACGGTTTTTGAATTCGCTGCAATAAGGGAGTGTACCCCTTAGAGTACATAGCTAGTCTAGGTATTTTCGTATTCCCTTGTATTCTTATATAAACCCGATGTATGCATGCTATTACCAAGTAAGTCATTTACATTCACTCTAACCTGAGATTCAAACTTCCGCTGCAATACTACTCTGCGATCAACCACGAGCGATCCTTCGCTAAGTCCCACTTGGGATTGTAACATGGTATTTAGAGCTTCACAGGATTCTTCGCAACTTCACTTCCGTGAAATTCGCCGAACCATGATCTGGCGAGCGGCACACGCTCCAAGACCAAGATGGTCGGAGGATCCAGAGGCCAACCAAATCTATCGGCCGAAGAACAAACCAGCCCGGCTGCGACAAATGAGGCGACAACTACGATCAGCACTGCCGCACTCGAGCTGTTATTTTCGCGAGTATCAACTATGGAGAAAGATCTCCAAAAACTGTGCAAAGGCGATGCGGGAACATCTTCCCAACCAGCTCAACCTGGACAACCAGCTGCGAAAAGTCGTGATACCGCCGCGCACACCTTCTCCCTCGACATAGACAAATCAACAACTACTGCCCCCCATCCAAGTGATGAAGTCATCAACTCTGCGCAAGCACGCTTCCTCAGCGTCTCAAAAATCAAGACTACAGCCGCATTTCACGGCAAGGATTTCCATACATGGAGTTTCGAGCTTGAGCTCCTCCTACAAACGGCGCAGATCTACCATTACTTCGACGGCTTCTACTCTAAACCGGTGAAAGACGCCGACGATGCCAGGGCTCAGTACTAGAGTGAGTCCCTCATGGCATACAGTGTGCTGCTATGAAACATGACGCCTGCGGAACAACTTAGCATCCGCTCCTACAAAGAGAGCGTTGCTCCAGCCTTGGAAGCCTGGAAGCACCTCGTTGAGGAATATCAGCCGAAGGATTCGGTCACCACCAGCAGGCTCCTGCAGCAACTCATGGAGGGGCACGGGGAGAAATTGAACTCTTACATTAACCGCTGTCGGAACATCCGTGACCAGATCACGAAGCATGGGAGCGCGATCTCAGAAGAGATCTTTGTCAATATAGTCATGCAAGGACTCGGGCCAGAGTGGAAGCCCTGCAAAGCGCTACTCCGACAACGAGGAATTATCTATGAAGCCACGCTATGCGCCGCTCTCTTGACTGAACAGCAAGACATAGACTCGAGCAGAACAAGCTCCGCGCCGCGCCGAGAGCGCCTCGCCTTCTACGCAGACAACCGTGAAGAGCGACGACAACCAAGGCGCCACTATTGCAA